AAGGAAGGATTAGATAATGCAGCAGATTCGATTAGACCGAAATTTAGTAGACTTGTTGACCAAGGCTTTACCGAGCGCAATGTTCGATAAATTAGTAAAGATCATCGGGATGCGTTAGTTGCAAGATTTCAAATGATGTACATATCAAGGGGAGCGATATTTCAAATGATGTCCACATCAGGGGGAGCGATATTTCAAATAATGTCCACATTAGGGAGAACGATATTTCAAGTAATATGCACATCAGGGGAAGTATTTTTAATGCATGGATATCGTACTTTTTTTCCTTTATTAGGATTTTTGTCCCACTGAGTTTTTTCCTAATAAGGTTTTAACGAAGCGTATTCATTGTTATTAAATAACACATAAGGTGGAGTGTTATGACTATCACATTTGTTTTTAGGTGTCATATAATAAGTTTGCCAAGTCATTGATTTAATGACTCATTATGTAGTAATACTTGTATAAATATTCTTGTGTGGTGAAATGAGAAAATATATACAAATTATGCTATCAAAGCTATTGTCTATCATTTTACTCTTTCTCTCTATGTCTCTCTCTCTCTATAGATATACATACATATATTATATCAAACTCTCTCTCTACATATAAGTATATTGCATATATATTATATATCTATTAAATTGTGTGTTTAACTTATACACACGTTACATGCATACACATATATAAATATTTTGTTTATTTATTTGTTATATATTTTATAACAACTTTTACATTTTGATTACTTATCACATAATGCTTGTGTCCTCACAAATTTTTGACATGTGACATTATTATTTAATGACACCTACTATAGATATAATATATTATAACAATTATAGTACTCCCTCCGTCCCGCAAGAAGGTTGCCATTTGATTTTTGCGTTATTGTACTTAACATTAAAAATATTCTTATATTTAAATAATTTACCCAAAAATATTATTGTATTTGTATTATAAGAGGCTAATAAACGTATTTGTGTTTTTTTCTCTTGATTTCTACGGTATATTGATATAATAATTAATATTCAAATATCAACATGCAAAAAGGTCATGACAACCTTCTTGCGGGATGGAGGGAGTAGTATAATATTATAATTCAAAATAAATATAAATAAAAATTTTATATAATAATATTATATTTATAAAATTAAATATAAAACCGCCTACATTTCTCCCATTATTTTTTATTTTATTTTTATTTTAAATGGTGAGGTCCACATAAATTTTTTTTTAAAGAAAATAAAAAAATATAAAGGGGGACGTGGCCAAACATTTTCGTCACCAAATATATAGTATATAACATAAGACATATACACATTTATATCATATGGTATATATAAATTGAGCTTTTAATAAAAATACTCTTTCCGATCAATTGAAAGATTACTATTTTTTATTTTCGTTCGTTCCAAAACAAGGTTACCATTTCCTATTTTAATAATTATACTATGTACTTAACATAATAAATACCCTTTCAACTTACAATATATTACAGAAATGACATTACTTTTATATTACAATAGGGGTATTTTTGTCTTTTTTATTACCATATAATATAATACTAATATTTAAAAAAGCAAAATTGTCCATAACTCACTTGTGGTTTTGAAATTCAGCATAAATTCCCCCTCTACTTTAAAAATTGCATGGTACCCCCTTATACTTTAAAAAATGTTGCATGAAACCCCACCACCATGAAACTTTCCTCATGTGATAAGAAGATGATTTCCTATCTATATGTTTTGCATGGCAGGGGGTTTTATGCAATATTTTTGAAAGTATAAGTGAGCGTCATGCAATTTTTTAAAGTAAAATGGGGATTTATGCTGAGTTTCGAAACCACAAAGTAGTTTCATGCAATATTTTTTAAAGTATAAGGAGGTACCATGCAATTTTTAAAGTAAAGGGTGAATTTACGCTGAGTTTCGAAACTACAAGAAAGTTATGGGCAATTTTGTCTATTTAAAAATTTACGTGCAAAAAATAAACGTCACTCTTCCAATAAAACGAAGAAAGTATGTTATTTATTTATATAAAACATCACATCAAAACATTAGTTAAACAAAATTTACAAATTAATATTTTATTTCAAATTAATTTAATAGAACAGCCAAACAAACCACAAATAGTTAACATTTTGATCTACCATTTTTAATTTTGAGTTTTTTAATTTTTGGCCAAGGAATCATGAGTGGGCCTCTATAATTCTTTTAGGGTTTTTTTTTTTTTTGGAACGATACCCTAATTTTTTATGGTGGAAAATTACAAATATATATATATATATATATGCGTGTTTGCGTTTGTATCCTCGATCTAAATTGTTTTATTTCAATTATTAGTGACTATCTCACTATATCAATGGATGTGTTGTATGGTCTCTAATGAATAAACGCAGGCATTTAAGTCGTTTATTCACGGGTCATCTGATTACTATACTGTCACCCGTACGAATTCTTGGCGAGCATTTAATTGATTGGACCATTTCCATTCCTAGCACACAACTTCATATTGCATTCTCTTTTAGAAATCTCACTTTTCTAGGATGTTAAGAAGAATTCCTTTTACTAGGAAAAATTTCTCTTTAAACACAACTCAAGAAATTATGGTCCCAAAAATATTGACTTCAATTATTCAATTAATATTAAAATATTTAGAACTTACAAAAAAAAAATACAAAAATTATCTTTAAATTCTAAATATTTTGATTTAAATGAATATTTAAAAGCATCTGTTGCTGTCATTCTCTCTGTTTCATTATCTCTCTGTCATCTCTATCGTACCTATCTCAGCATTCAAATTATTTTCTTTATCATTATTTATAGTAATCAATTTCAACACATTATTAACTATTTTATAGGACCAATAATAATTTATTTATTTTTATATATTTTTATTATGTAATATATAAAATTATTTATTTATTTATACATATTTCTATATATTTTTATTTTCTAATAATATTTTTATAAAATATTACATTTTAATTTTAAAGATTAATCTATATAGATTTTAATATATTGCTCCCTCTTCTCATATTGCATGTCCGGGTTACTGTAAATACGAAAATTTAAAATAAATATAATTAATAGTTAATTAAAAATATATTAGTGAAAATAATCATCCTATAATATAAATAATTATAAATTAAGTTACTACAATTAAAAAAAAATTAAATTAGAAAATTTAAAATGAGATTAAAGTGTGTAATTATTTTCTAAAAAAGAAAAGTGACATGAGATGTGAGACGAACAGAAACGACAATGTGGATACGGTGGGCGGGACGAAGGGAGTAATACATATAACTTACTATTTTAAAATTTAAAATTATTCAAAATAAATCAACATACATATTTATAGGTAATTCCTGTTAAATTTTAAATTTTAAATTTTGAAATTTCAAAAAATTTAAATAATATTTAATTACTGTTTTTTTTTAAAATTTTGTTGGAGGTAACTTGTTCCCAATAAAGGTAATATATAGTTAATAATTGTATTTTTAAACGAAATGTAATTAGTTTTTATAGTAAAAACTATAAACACAATTATAAAGGTAAAAAAGAAGTGACCGTAACAAATGCTCTAATAAATTTTAAAAATAAATGTTGTAAATTTTAATATATATATATATAATTATTTGTAGCTTTTAGAGGAATTTATTATGGCAAGTTTTCATATAGTATATTTTGGAAGGAAATATCTAATATATTCGGGAAATTTATAAATGATGAATCGAAAGAAAATAGGATAAATAGAATTCCAAAAAGCAAGCACTCCTCTCGAGCAAACACTTTCGAGAATCCACGGGCTGTCTGATGCTGCCGATGCGTCTTCCGTCTCTCACGCAATTGCATCCAAAGCTCAAACAATCAATTTGCCATATCGGCGGATGAAATCACTCCAAATCTAAGGAATCTCTCCAAAGCTAGGGTAAACCCTCTCAAATTGTTCTCATCTAAGTTGTGTGTCCATAAAAAAAATAAACAAGACTATATATACTAAATGACAAATTAATCTAAGCCACACATCTTAAGTGGGAAGCTAATCTAAACCACACATTTTGATTAAGATCAAAGGATCAAAACCTCCAAGCAAACAAGTAGCTTCGACCGGGTCCAAGTTGCAATCGATCCGTCTAGGTCGGGTTCGGGTGATCCGGAGCCCTGTCATCCTCTCCCCCTTCGGTTGCCTTGTCCCCAAGGCTAGTAACATTTTCAGCGTGATCAAATAGGCTCAAATCGGCAACATTGAAAGTCGCATTCACACCCAAGTCTTTCGGAAGTGCAATGCGGTATGTGTTATCGTTTATGCGCTCCACACACGAAATGGACCAGCTCCATGAAGAAAAAGTTTCCCATGCCATAACTCCGGAAAGCATTCTCTAGGCAAATCTACTCATACCCAATCGTCGGGTCAAAATATCACGCATTTTCTTCCGCGATTGGCATAGCGTGCGTATGTCGCGACCACCTTATCAATGTTCTATCGTAACTTGGCATGTAATTCCTTTAGTGATGTAGCTCGATCCCTGCCACTAAAATTCAAATGCTCGCTACTAGGTAGTTGCAACATATCGGTAGGGGTTAAAGGGTTAAAACCATAAACAATCTCAAACGGGGACAATTTAGTAGTAGTACTAACATGTCTATTATAAGCAAATTCAACATGTGGTAGGCATTCATCCCATGTTCGCCCACTATCATGTACCATGACACGTAGAAGATCACCTAAGGTACGATTGACCGCCTCCGTTTGGCCATCCGTCTAGGGGTGACATGTGGTAGAGAAAAGTAAGCGCGTCCCAATTTCATGCCAAAAACTTTTCCAGAAATAAGATACGAACTTTACATCCCGGTCTGATACAATATTTTTTGGAATCCCATGCAATTTTACAACCTCTCAAAAGACAAGCTTTTCCACATGACTAGCATGTCATTTTCGCACAAGGTATAAAGTGAGCCATTTTGGAAAATCTATCAACTACAACAAAAATTGAGTCTTTAGTATGCGGTGCCTGAGGTAAACCAAGAACAAAATACATAGAAATATCTAACCAAGGGCCTTCCGGAGTGGGAAGAGGAGTATACATACCATAGGGCTTCAAAGTACTCTTCGCCACTCTATATGCAAGACACTTATCACCAAAAGAATCAACATGTTTAGGCATTTGAGGCCAGTAAAAGTGAACGCTAAAAACATCAAATATAGCATGTCTACCAAAATGTCCAAGCATATGACTACCATGACTCTCCTCAATCAAAACATCTCTAATGCTACATCTAGGAATGCACAATTTATCACCATGAAACAAATAGCCATCATGCTTACAGTAATCATCAAAACCATGCTTCTCACACTTCCTAAATATATCACCAAAATCTACATCATACTCATACAACTCACGAATATGGGCAAATCCAACCAAATGTGTACAAGTATGATTAAGTAAAACATACCTCCGAGAGAGTGCATCAACAACTACATTCTCTTTCCCTTGTTTATACTTAAATCATATATGGAAATTGTTCAATAAAGCTTACCCACCGAGCATGACGCTGATTGAGTTGTTGTTGCCGATGCAAATGCTTAAGGGTATCATGATCCGTGTGAATTACAAACTCCTTTGGCAGCAAGTAATGTTGCCAAACTCTCAGGGCTTGCACAACCGCATATAATTCCTTGTCGTATGTCGAGTAGTTCAGGGCTACTCCATGGAACTTCTCACTATAATAAGCAACCGGTCGCCCTTCTTGTAACAGTACTGCACCTATACCAACTCCACATTGGACTTCAAAAGCTCGTTCAAATCGGGTAGTGCCAAAACCGGAGCATGTGTCAAATTATCCCAAAGCTTCTCAAAGGATGTTTCTTGACTTGCCTCCCACTTGAATGGAACATTCTTCTCTAAACGGGAGGTTAATGGGGCTGCTATCACACTAAAGTGTGGTACGAATCGCTTAAAGAATCCACACATTCCAAGGAACCTCCGGACATCGGCCACACTTGTACATTTTTTCCATTCCCGAATTGCAGCAACCTTAGCTTAATCAACCTTTAAGACCATCTGCACCTACAACAAAGCCAAGAAAAATAATTTTATTAGTGCAGAATATGCATTTCTTTAACGTACCATACAATTTATCATGTCTTAAAGCATGAAAAACTTGCCTAACATGTACTAGATGGTCCTCCAAACAAGTACTATAGACAAGTATGTAATCAAAGTATACCTTCACAAATTTTTCAATAAATTCTCTCAACACATTGTTCATCAATCGCATGAAAGTGTTGGGCGCCTTTTCAACCCGAATGGCATGACTAGCCACTCGTACAACCCAAACTTAGTTTTAAAAGCTGTTTTCCACTCATCTTTAGGTTGCATACGAATCTGATGGTATCCACTCTTTAAGTCAAACTTTGTAAACAACCATGCTCCATGCAACTCGTCAATCATATCATCCAATCGAGGGATTGGATGTCGGTATTTCACAGTAATTCCATTGACGGCCCTACAATTAACACACATACGCCATGAGTTATCCTTTTTAGGGACAAGTAAAACAGGTACAGAACAAGGAGATAAAGATTCTCGAAGCCATCCCTTATCAAGAAGCTCTTGGGCTTGTCTCCGAATTTCCTCACTTTCTTTTGGATTACACCTATAAGCTGGCCTATTGGGAATTGATGAACCCGGTGCAAAATCAACACGATGTTCGATGCCTCACAATGGTGGTAAACCAGGTGGCATATCATCCGGAAAAACATCCTCAAACTCCTTAAGAAAATCTACAAAAGGAGGAGACGAGTGAGAAAAAGAATTATCATCAATAACAAGTACTTCTTTGAGTAAGAGATTATAAAACTAACTTCCCTCATCTTGGTTACTGTTTTGGCGAACTTCTTTGTTGAACTCTTTGAGACTAAGCAACAGCTTGCCATCGTCTCCCTCGAAAGGTTTCGCCGAAACGGCAACAACAACCCCTTTTGATTTTACCACATCTCGCATAGTCCTATGTAAATGTTCAGCATCACGACGGACGGTCTCGAGTGGAAGGGTGGAAATGCTCAGCTTCTTGCGACCTTTAGTGAATGATATTTGATTTTTATATCCGTCGTACAAAACACGTCTACCAAATTGTCATGGTCGCCCTAAAAGGAGGTGGCATGCACTCATAGGACACAGATCACAAAGGACATTATCGCTAAAACCATGAATCGAAAATGTAACAATCGATCATCTATCGACACGAACAGGTCCTTCATTACTCATCCAATGTAGGTTATATGGTTTCGGGTGTGGGGTAGAATTTAAATTCAGCTTCTCGATCACATAGGAAATAATAACATTGGTGCAACTACCCAAATCCACTATCATGGATATAGTATGTCCCGCTACCTTGCAATAACAGTGGAATAGATTTTCTCGCTGTTCCGCATCCTTATCTTCGTACGGTAAAGAGGTCAAGGCACGCATGACTACTAAACTTAACGGATGCTCATCGCACACTTCTTTAACGTCATCATCACTTCTAGCCTCTGCTTCAGCCTCTACTACCTCATCGCCCTTACCATCATCGACATATCCCCATTCGCCATTCTCCAAAATCATAATGATTCGTTTATTGGGGCATTGACCTATATAGTGCCCTTGTCCATGACACTTATAGCACTTTACAATCTTTTCTTTTTGTTGTCCAAACTCCTTTCCTTTGAACTTTGCAGCCTCATCCTTCTTATCAACTACTTTAGATTTATCTTTATCCTTATTTTTATCGAAAGACTTAGCGAAAACAATTCCTTTAGATCTGGTAGAAGATATGACCAGAGCTACAAAATTGGTTGGGAACTTCTTTTGAGATGAAAATCCGGTTGAAGTTGGTCTCCTGAGCTGCTCATCGCTTTTGATAGCCAAATCCACAGCTTCCCGAAGAGAACAAAAGCGGTGCAGCTCAACCGTATCAGATATCTCACGCCTCAAACCCTTAATGAACCTAGCTTCTGTCAATGACTCACTCTCATCAATATCCAGTCGCATCATCAAAATTTCCAATTCCTTAAAATATTCCTCCACCGGTTTCAAACCTTGCACCAAGGACTGCAACTTGATATTCATATCTCGTTCATAACTTTGTGGCACAAAACGCCTCCTCATGATTTCCTTCAACCGGGGCCAACTATCAATCGGATGTTGTCAATGTTGTTCTCTATAACGTCTCTCCTTCTCCCACCAAGTCAATGCATAATCCTTGAATTCACAAATCGCCATTCAAAATTTCTTGCCATCCGAGTAATTATGGCAATCAAATACCATATCACACTTCGTTGTCCAATCCAGAAATTCCTCTGCCCTTCTTAATCCTCAAAGGTAGTAAGGGTAATCCTAATGGTAGAAAGATCGTCATCCACTTCACCACGTCGATGATAAGTTCGGTCTCGTTCATAGAATGAGTGCTCTGAGTTATGACTATTGTGTGTATCTGACCTCATTGAAGGACTCACATCACGATGACGAGAAGCCTAAACTGCATCATATCTACCCCGAATATCAGCTACTCCAGAAGGAACCTCAGTCTGTGCCATCTCCAACGATGTCAACCTATGATTTAAGTCCTTCATTTTCTTATTCACGGCGTACTCTACATGATCCCACGTTGCCTTTTGTTGCATGGATAAAGTTTTTTTTCATTTTGGCCTCCGATTTTTGCATACTCGATTCTAACAGCTCCTTGAATTGTTCAAAAGTGGCCATCCTGCAAACAAAGACAAGCTATATATATGTATATCGAAAGGTAAGTGTTCTCACTCTCGCTCTCACAACTCTCAGAAAGGAAAATCAGAAGCAACCACAATCAAAACAGAAGAAGTGTTTTGCAAATACCACAAACAGTACGTAGGAATTCCTTCAAATGCAATACTCAAGGAGAAGTAACGTCGAACAAAAACAAGACGCATCAACTAGGAAACAAACTAGAGGATTCGACGGCAAACTATAATCGCAGAATGTAAAGAAAGTTTGACATAAGTTCTTATTCCACAATTAAGCAACAAGCTAGAATCGAAATCCCTAGCACATCATTTGATCATGACAATCTCTCATAACTCAAAAGAACCTCCACAGAAGAATAGAACTACTCCCTCAGAACTGGTTTAGTGACTCTCAATTATGATTATCCAAATGATTGACAATGCACTATAACAAGAAGAGAAAGTGTGCTGCTCAATTTCTTTTGTTTTCTTTTGTTTTTTTTTTCTTTTTTTTTATATGCTTTAGGCTTTTACTTAATGTTTAGAGTGCACCTTTTTATAATTCATATTACCATCTTGGCTCTTTCGCTGCATTTTTGCCACACTCCTGAAAAACAAAACGCAGTGCACTATAATCAAATTCAAACGCTATTTCAGAGCGTTATTCAAATCCAAATCTCACGATTCCAAAAATTATAATCAACTTCAAGGCGTTATCTAACATCAAAAAAATGAATCACACAAAAATTCTCAGCCAATTGAGAGCAGTAAATCGAACAATTCGACTGCTAAAAACCGAAGATTTTCAGACTGACCAAAAACTGTCTTCCAGGCATTTTTTGAAGATTTTGAGATTGCATCATGGCATATTGATGCTCACTGTATAGAGGATTTGATGCCAATTCCAAAACTTCCTCACAGTAGTAAATCGGAGTTTGTATGCAAAAGTTACGGCCAAAATACGATTTATCGACAAAACTCACAAAATTACACTTCTAAGCCCTCAATTCACTCAATTCCACGATCATTTGATGTGTTTAGGCTCAAAACCAACCATATTACTCAATCAAGGTCTAAGAATACTTAAAAAACTACGAATAAAGTTGTTAGTGCCGGCCAAAAATCACTACTACTTGTGTTTTCTTGAGAGACAAATTCAACAACACAACTCATGTTTGACAACTAACAATGGATTGGAACTAGCTATCATTTCCACTAGATAGGGAATTTTTGCAACAACGAAATGGCTATTTTCAGAAACTATGAACTATCTCCAATAACATGAAGTAAACCTATGTTTTAACACAAATTTGATCAAACAAGACATAGAGGCATATTATCGAACATGTTGTGAACAAGATAGCTTCAAAATCTTATGATCAAATCAACAACCGCTCTGATACCAATTTATGACATGGATTAGGATCATATTCATGAATCAAACTCGAAAATGAAATATCTAATATATTTGGGAAACTTACAAATGACAAATCGAAAGAAAATAGGATAAATCGAATTCCAAAAAAAATCACTCCTCTCGAGCAAGCACTTTCCAGAATCCACAGACTTTCCGAGGTTGCCGATGTGTCTTCCGTCTCCAACTCTAAGGAATCTCTCCAAAGCTAGGGTAAACCCTCTCAAATTGTTCTCATCTAAGTTGTGTGTCCATCAAGAAAATAAACATGACTATATATACTAAATGACAAATTAATCTAAGCCACACATCTTAAGTGGCAAGCTAATCTAAACCACACATTTTGATTAAGATCAAAGGATCACAACCTTCAAGCAAATAAGTAGCTTCGACCGGATCCGGGTTGCAATCGGTCCGTCTAAGGTTGGGTTCGGGTGATTCGGAGTCGTGTCATCTGCCTTGCTTCTTAATTTATTGCACCATATAATTTATAACGGCGTTATATTTAAAGCTTTGAGTCGTCGCATCATCTTTAAAATCTACTCCGAATACTTAAGTTTGAAAATATTTTGGGAGACATAATTTAGAATCTTTGTAGATGAGCAATAATGCATAAATGGCTTAAGGATCTGAACTTTAGCTAAGATTCGTTTACACACCACCGTCGATATTACCAACAATATTGAGTCCTTATTTAGAAAATACTTGGTTTAATTTCACTAATTGAATTTATTCGATGACGAATAAAGGTTAAGTGAGAGGAGTTTGATAACTCTTGATTTCGCCATATTTTATAGATTAAATTTATTTAATTATTTATTTATTTATGTCGAATTTTAGTATTATTTATGTTAATTTATTCTAATAATTGTATTTATTTCATCTTGTGTATATAATATTAAGTTATTAATTTTTAGGTGTAATTTATAATTTATTTGGTATATAAATTAAATTAATTGATGTGTTTCTTAAATTATAATTTTTGACATTATTCATGTGCTATTTAAGTATTTAATTTTGGCTAAATTAATATTTTTTAATAAGTATTATTTATTTAAACAAATATTTATAAGGTGTTTATTATTCATACACGTGAAATAATGCTTGAAAATTGATCTAGAGTCCAAAACTAACCTTAAAAAGTGAAAAAAATAGCTTCATGAGCGAAAAACAGCCGCCAGCGCGAAAGTCAACAAAAGTCAACGCATAAAAGTCAACGGTCAACCCTGGCGCGGAATTCTAACACCGGCCGCGGGGAAAGCAATGTTGCTATGCGGAAAGCGAGCGGCGGCTACACGGAAAGCGAGCAGCGGCTGCACGAAAATTTGAGCGAAGCGGAATTTTATGTCCATTAATCCTTGAGCGGCGGCTGCATTTATGAACGCGAAAATTCGGGCAGCTACACGGAAAGCGAGCGGCGGCTACACAGAAATTTGAGCGAGCGGCGGCTCCATTTATTGCCGTTGGGTTAGCGGCTGCATTTGATGCCCAGGCTTCCTCAGCTCCTGAATTTACTGCACTCTCTCAACTCTGCATTTACTGCACTCTCCCAGCACTCTTGATTAAATTTATACACTATTTCTTAGTCAATTTTTTTGTTGTTTAGTATAAAATTTAATTCTAAAACCTTCTAGAAAATAGGTAGTTATTAGTAGTTATATTAGTAGCTATTTTTAGATGTAGTTAGTAACTATTTTTAGAGTTAGTTATTTATGGTTATTTTTAGAAGTAATTATTCATGGGCGGTTGTAACCGCCAAACTTCTAGAAGCTTTTCGCCTCTATAAATATTCCCTCTCATTTTACCATATATATACACAATAATATACATAACCATACACTCTATTTTCTCCATTTCTTTCTTCCACATTTTTATCTAGTTTAATAATACGAGATTTTCGATTTTGTGTCGCGAGCAAACTGATTTTCTCCTCCCCTTCTTTCAATTACAACATATTATTTTAGCTAGTAAAATTCCTATCACACTTCTCCACCTCACCTTCACCCAAAAATGCCATGTTCGGTTTGAATTGTTTAAGTTAGATTTCAACAAGGTTGCGGAAGGGCGATAGAAGAATCGACTATTTCAGCCTTGTTTTGCGTCACAAATAGATTTCGGGTAGTTCAGCGTAGCTAAGTACGCGGGAGGCTTGTCGACCTGCTTAGTTGTTGTTCTAAATTCGATTCCGATTTAAGAGAGATATCAGAGGGGTAGAGCCACTAGCGCAACGGTTGGAAGAATAATTCATGGGGCATAGGCGGTGGTCTATTGGGTCACAAAAATTTCTAGTGACAATAGAGTTTCTTACTTATAATGTTCTTTGCCGGGTGTCGCGGAAGCTTCGTTGTAAATCTCCTAAGATCAAGTACCAATCGAGTCGAGAATCGGCTTAAGCAAGCAAATGCGATCACGCTCATTCCTTCGAGCCGCCCCGCAATTATAAATATATTTTTCGCTATCACGCCATCATCATGTCCATTTCATCCATGAAAATCTAGCCATTAAGAAACGCAAAAGTGAGACACGAATGCCTCGCTTCATCCTTTTCAAGATACATATATTTTATCGCTTTTTAATTAGATTTAATTTCTGTAATTTATCCTTTCAGTTTCATCGATTGCATTAACTCATTGCACTTTTTCTAATTAAATATAGGATATTCGCATATTCCCTGAGTTCGAACCGGAAACTCACCGGTTAAAGAGTTTTTTTTTCTTACGAAGTTTTTGGAGTTACTACACGAACATGCGCGACAATATTTTCATTTTATACATATATCATTTTTTGTATCTTAAACGATATTTCTAAATCTCTCAAAAATCTTCGATCAGTTTGCTTAGCAATCATGCAGTTTTCACGCACTTGAGTGGGGAACTTGATGTTGGGTATACCACACACTAATCCTCTTTTCACCATTGATTCTAATACTCGAGAATTTATGTGACCGAGTCTCACGTGCGATAGCCACCCATTGTCGTCAATGCTTGTATTTAAGCACACTGGTTGAGCAATTTTGAGTGTAATCTTGTACAACCGATTCATGGTTCGCTGCACTTTCATAAACAATAGGTATGGTTCCTCATCTTGAGTTTGAGTCAAATTTACTTCATCGGATTTTTCCTTTGGAGCTTTGCATTCAAATGCGTAGTGACCGTACTCTTCACAATTAAAGCACCTTATGTGCTTCTTTTCTCTTCGTTTGTAACGGCTGTCCCCAAAATCTCGTTGACCACTAGTACTTCCTCGACCACCTTTACCGCGGCCTCTGCCCCGACCACCATTTCGACTCCATCTATGACCATGTGTAGAACCACGGCCTCTACCTTATGATGGTGAGAGAAATCTGCCTGAAATCTTTTGACTAGAACCTGCAGACTTTGTAAGCAACAAACTTCATTTATTGCTTGTATTTTCATTGCGCACTCGCAAACGATATTCATAGACCTTTAATATCCCAATAGCTTCTTCAAACGGCATTGAGTCCACATCAGAACATTGCTCAATGGACACTACTAGTTGTAGGTACTTGTCAGGGACTAAATTAAGCAATTTTCTTACCAACACACTATCTTCGATTGATGCTCCCGGGCTATTTTATTTTGATATCATGCTGCTTAATTTCCCATTGAACTCATCTATGGTCTCCCCATCTCCCATTTGAAGAGCCTCGAACTCACACTTTAATGTGTGAAGTCTTGTCTTTTGCACTATGTCAGCTCCGAGATACCGCATCTTTAGAGATTCCCAGACCTCTTGTGTCGTCTTCCTCTTGGCTACTTGCAAAAGGATGTCTCTCGGCAATACGACCTCACCGACCTTTGGTTCGACAGATTCCCATACCCCTTGGGCATCCATAATGGCCTCCATCCTTATCGCTCATGTCGTATAGTTCGAAGATGTTAACATCGGACATTGAAACGGTATGCCACCGATTTATTTTCCTTGCGTCACTACTGACATGGTTTCTAATCGGAGGTACTTGAGCATGAACCTTGCTCTGATACTAAATGTTGGATCGATATAGAAAATTTATGCAGTAATCAACACTTGTCAATCATCTAAATTTTCATTCAACAACAAAGAAAAACATAAAACATATAAATTAGAAACTTCCACAAAAATCAAAATACAAAGCATTTAAACCCTTGTCAACTTAATCACGTAACCAACTTCTCAATAAAATTAGAAATAAATCTTTTAGTAAATTGACTGCAAACCTCCCACGTCATTTCTCATACATAAATCAATTTACATTTATATCTATATATACTCATATATAATCACCAATCCATTACATTCTCACTCTCCTCCCTACTTTGTCCCTCGTCCTCTCTCTCACTCCCGGAAGGCCTCTTCCTCTTCCTAGATTTCGTCTTTGTCTTCGTCTTCCGGCGGGCGAGACCGTAGACCTTCCCGTCGTGGCCGGGTCCCTCCGAAAGCAGCTTTCTTCCAAGTTGTAGTGTAGTTCATTCATCGTCTTTGGAAATTGCCAACTTTGATTGAGAAGACATAAATAGCGAAGAATACAACAGAAAATCCAATGAGCACACCGACTGTAGGCCAGAGCATTTTTTACTCAAAGCCAAACTGGTGACTGATGAACTCCTTAACTGTTCCTTGAAAATCCGTTGCGATGACTGTTGTCTCTACGTCGCCTAGTTGGGATGTTATTATGCTGCGCAAAGTCCAAGCGACCGGGCAGATGTAGTAGAGCCATACCCACCATGGAGGGATGATCTGCATCAATTATAATCAACTATTTGTGAGTTTAAATGCTAATCAAATTCTAAACTACAATTTTACTACTCTACTCTATAAAATGTTCGAAAGATATGAACCATAAACAAAAACCCCAACTCGTGTTTCTTAAAAAGCATTAGGGGTTATTGTTCCACAGGGAAATAGATGCAAGATGTGTGCTCGCGCTCGAGTGTGTGTGTTTCTATATAACAACCAACTCTTGAGGTCTATACTTACCGGAACCGGGATAAGAAAGCCAGAAAATAGTTCCCATGTTGCATAAAATGCAGTGGCACAAACTGCCGCCAAATGTAGAGTGGGAGTAAGTCCCACGACCATCATTCCAAAGAAGGTGAAGTATAAGAATGTAAGAAACATGAACAAGAGATACATGAAAATTTTGCCTATCATATATTAAGAAAAACAGCAAAATTAGCACCATAAGTTACCTCAGATCAAGATTTTCACCATTAATTTAACAACAACCACGTCACGACGACACATATTAAAAGCTTTAAAAAGGTGATCTTTATGCTATATATATATATATATATTTTCGAAACCGGCCGGAATGAGATATTACACATGTACCTTGTGTAAGTTCAGAGTTAAAGATGAGTACAATATAAAGGAACATTTTAGAAAAATACAAAAACAAATGTGTGCATTTTTTTTATTATTATTTTTATGAAATGGCAACCAACAAAGGAATGAAAGTGGTAAGCAGTAAGAAAGAAAGAAAAATAAATAATAAATAATAAAAATTACCAGCCGTCCTTTTATAGTTCATCATGAAGTAGGTGATAATGGAGTATGCTATCGCTTGTACTGCAATGTATGGAAGCTCCACAAGCCCCTGCAATCATACAAAAGGTTAGGACTTGATTGAAGGATACACTAAATTGCGAAAAATACATATGACTTGAATTTATGGGATCATAAAATAAAATATAAGATGATTCCCATGTCCAGTTTTGAAATCACTTGTTGCGTCCGAACAAAAAAGGTTATGAACTCAATTTGTGTAGGAAAACAAAAAATTTGAAAGAGGCAGCGATATGAGTACAAATTTTTTAATTCAGAAATAGAAGCAGAGTATTTGGAAGCTAAAGCAACATTTACAAAAATAAATAAATGGAAAATCTCGCCTGTGCAAGTGCGAATGAAACCGGAGAGTACATTCCAGCAGCCCTTTCTCTATAAAAAACAGACCTCTCAATTGATATTACCGGTTGTACAGTACTATAATTGTTTATACCAAGGAAAATGGAAGAAGTGCTCACATCAAGGTAGACAATGCTTGAGCCGTACTCCTGGAAATTAATCATTCAAACAACAATATGAATCATTCAACTTGCTGATACAATCACTGCAGCCCAACCCAAAAGTGAAGCAAGAGAAGAATTATGTTCAATAGAAGAAGACTCAAGATCTGTCAAATCTCGGCTGGGCCGACGAGTCCCATGCCGGATGACAGAAGTTTATTGGATTGAAGAAGAGCCTTTATGGGCAAGTCTGGTGGATGGTTCTAAGGAGGAACCAGAATGAACAAAGATTTCAGATCTTGATTTTCAATAAGAAATTCCTCCGATAGTTTTTCCTCCCATTCCAGAAGGTACCACATCCCATTTAAAACCTTTGTATGTTAATGTGCACATTTTCGGGAAACCAATCACGAAGGTTTTTATAGACAATGGGGCTATCTTCAATGTTATGCCATTAAAGACCCTCAAGAAGTTGGGGAAAGGGGTTCACGATTTATGTTTAGTAGATTTCGAGATGACTAGTTTTACAGGGCAACCGACTAAACCAGAAGGTATGATGGTAGCCCTAATTGAAGTTGGACCGAAAAAGATGTTTTCCGTGTTCTTTGTAATGGATGCAAACACTACATATTCGGTCCTTCTTGGGCGAGACTGGATTCATGCATCTCAATGTGTACCATCATCACTACATCAGGAATTAATGTTCTGGGAAGGCAATCAGGTCTTCAAAATGGAAGCAAATGACAACCCTTTTGGTGCATCAGAGAAAGTTGAAGAATCAGTATTTTATTCCAGTTACCTAACCCCAATGTCTCAGGCTTTTATGGCTAGTGAATACCCAATGAAGGGTTATAAATTCACCAGCCAGAATTCAATGTTCTTCTAAAAAAGAACAACCTTTTTATATGGCTCATAAGGAAGCCAAACCTATCTTATAATATATATTTTATGGATAGTACAAATTTGGAAGATTTCAGTTTACTTATTAATCAGTTTTAATTAAACCAGCTTTTGGAAAAGGCAGAAAAAATTAAAAAGATGTATGATGTTCATTACCAGGAAGATGAGAAATTTCGGTGGCCGGATTTATTAGAAAAGACAGAGCCAGCCTTTTCAGCTCAAGATCCTTTATTGGAATTCAATTTAGGAACCGACTTGGTTCGAAAAATTTGTCTGAAGAGTAACAGGTAAATATACTTGAGGTTATCAAAAACAATATTGATTGTTTAGCCTGGGATTATTCAGAAATGCCTGGTCTGGAAAGAAGTCTGATAGAGTATCGGTTGCCTATTAGAGAAGGTTTTAAACCTTACAAACAGCCCCCAATGCGTATGAGTCCTGATTTGATGCCTCAAATCAAAGAGGAAATCCAGAAGCTTCTTAAAGTAAGTTTTATTCGGCCTTGCCGATATGCAGAATGGTTGGCAAATATTGTACCAGTGGTTAAAAAGAATAGTAAGATCACGATATGTATTGATTTCAGGGATCTGAATATAGCCACTCCTAGAGACGAATATGTTATGCCTATGGCCGATATGTTGATTGATTCAGCATCAGGACATAAAATCCTCAGTCTGATGGATGGTTATGCAGGATATAATAAAATCTTTTTGGCAGAAGAAGATATTCATAAGACAACATTCAGGTGTCCAGGAGCTTTAGGTATTTACAAATGGACAGTTATGCCATTCGGTTTAAAGAATGTTGGGGAAACTTATTAAAGGGCCATGAATTCAATCTTTCACGATCTTATTGGCAAATCTATGGAAATATATATTGATGATGCTATCGTCAAATCTTCCAGTTTCGAGGAACACTTGAGAGACCTGAAAGATGCCTTCGAACGAATGAAGAGGTACAAGTTGAAAATGAATCCAACTAAATGTGCTTTTGGTATATCAGTTGGAACTTTCTAGGATTTTTGGTACATGAAAGGGGAATTGAAATCGATGCCAATAAATTCAAAGCAATTCTATCCATCCGATCACCCAAAATGGTTAAGGACGTACAAAGTCTTTTGGGCAAGGTAAATTATCTGAGAAGATTCATTTCTAATGCTGCAGGAAAGGTCAAGCCAATTACTAAATTGTTAAAGGCTGGGGGCAACGCTTTCGACTGGGGACCAGATCAGCAGACAGCTTTAGAAGCTATAAAGCAGGCCTTGATTCAACCACATGTGTTAGTGCTTCCCAAGGAAGGTCGGCCCCTCAAACTTTATGTGGCAAATACACATGAAGTGGTCAACTGCTTACTAGCACAAGATGGTTATGATGGAAAGGAAAGGGCAATTTATTATTTGAGTAAGACCCTCACAGGACCATAAATAAATTACACTATGCCAGAAAAATGTGTTACTCATTGGTGTTTGCATGCACCAAACTTGAGCACTATATGCTGCCCAGGAGAATAGAGGTCATCTCAAAGGTGGATCTTATCAAATTAATTTTGCAAAGACCTACCATGCAGGGCAGACTTATGAAATGCGCCATCAAATTGGCTCCTTTTGATTTGCAACATTCTCCATTAAAGCCAGTTAAAGGCCAAGCAATAGCAGATTTTTTGGCAGACTTTTCGGGGGATAATCAAGAACAGATCGGATGCATATCTTATGTAAATACCTGAAATTGGTTAATATTTTTCGATGGTTCTACTTCGGGAAATAGATCAGGTGCAGGGGTCTTATTGAAAGGACCAGATGGCAAAAAGATCAAATTACAGCTGCAATTAGAAGCTATGACCCATAATTCGGCAGAATATGAGGCTTTAATCTTGGGGTTGGAAGCCTTAATAGCCATGAATGTTCAGTCAGTGATTATAAGGGGAGATTCTCAATTGGTAATCAATCACGTAACCAAGCAATATGTTTGCAATTATCCTCATCTACGCAGATACAGGGATATTGTATGTCGGTTGCTATCAAAAATCTCAAAGGTGATAATTGAGTTCACCCTAGGAAGGAAAACCAACTTGCAGATGAGTAGCTTGTAAAGGAATCCCAAAAGACATCTGTGTGGAGATCGAATCGGAAACAGAAAATGGGACCGACTAGAGGACATAAATTGTCATGTATCTACAAAATCGAAGAGCGAATGTCCCGATAGGAATAGGGTTAAAGGCTCTACGATTCCAGTTGATAGAAGGAGTCTTATACAAAATGACATTCGACGGATTACTTTTAAGGTGTTGAGGGTCTAAACAGGCTCTGGAAGTCATGACAGAAGTACACAGTGGGATCTACAGAGCTCATCGAGCAGGCTTGAATATGAGATGGGCTATTCATCGTTTGGGTTTCTTCTGGCCAAAGATTTTTTAAGATTGTATACAATTTGCCAAAGGTTGTCAAGAATGTCAAAAACATGGACAGCTGAATCACTTGCCAGTCACCGAATTGCAAGCTATGGTGAAAACATGGCCTTTCAAGTCTTGGGCCATGGACATCATTGGTAAAATACATCCCCTTTCGTCCAAACATCATTGTTTTATTTTGGTTACAACAGACTATTTCACCAAATGGGTCGAGGCGGTTGCTTTAAAAAATGTGGATCAAAATGAGGTGATTGATTTAGTGTTGAATTAAATTATTTATAGGTATGGTATTCCTCATTCTATAACCACCGATCAAGGTTTGGTTTTCACTGGGGAGAAATTTCTAAGCTTCTTGGCAGAATTTAGTATTCGGATAAACCATTCTTTGCCTTATTATCCCCAAGCTAATGGGCAAGCAGAGGCGGCCAATAAGATTATTATTGGAATTATAAAAAAAATGGTTGAGGGGAATCCAAGAAAGTGGTATTTACTGTTACCTCAGGCCTTATGGGCACACAGGAATAGCAGAAGTTCAGCCATGGGATTTTCACCTTATCAACTTACTTTTGGGCAAGATGTTGTGTTACCAGCCGAAATTCAGGTGTCATCTGGACGTAGAAGTTTTATTACTAAAGAATATCAGCGAGTTATGTTGCAGCGGTTGGAGAGTCTGGATGTCAACCGACTCAATGCAATCGATCAGATTGTGAAACAGAATGAAATCAGGGCAAAGTCTTATAGAAAGAAAGTCCTTTATAAGACTTTCCAAGAAAGAGATTTGGTTTGGAAGATCATTCTTCCTACATACAAGAAGATTAATCAATTAGGAAAGTGGTCTTCGAATTGGGAAGGTCCATTTATTATTCAAAAGGAGATTGAAAATTGTGCATTTATTATAATAAATCAAGAAGGGAAAAGAGTACATGATTGTATTAGTGCTAGATATCTGAAGAGGTATTTTCCTTCCTTTTCAGATAAGAAGAATGCATGAAACAAGAATTTATATTCAGAACCCAAAACATAGGGGTTCAGACCCAAAAAGGGGTTCATTCATTATCAGATATTAATTTGTGCGGAGGACCTTCTTCTTCTGAATCAGAGTCTTCATCCCAGTGAGTACATATTAATTCTGGTTCCTCATCAATAAGGTCTTCTAAATCAGGTCGGTACTCTTCCCATTGATTCTGCATTTATTCTAAATCATGATGGGTACGAGCCCTCATATATGTTATAGCCTCACGTTCACGATCAACAAGAGTACGTAGTCTCGAAAAAACTGTACGCTGATTGAAAAATATGTTATCCCAGCCAAGCTCTGGAATTATGGCTGTTACATAATGTTCAATCAAGTCCATATGGTGATCGATATCAGGAAGGCGACTTAGGATATCACGAAGAGTCTCATATCCTCCCAGCACATTTTCCATCAGGAGAATAACACGGTGAATGGTTTTTCTTCCTCCTTGGGAGAATCTGAATTTGAAATCTAGCTGTTTGAGTATGTGTAACAAGTCTTCAGCATGGCCTCCGACGGGATGGTAACCCACAAAGAAAAGGTTGAATGACACCTTCCCAGTTTTTTGAAGGAACTTGGGTCGATTGTGTGACATTTTAATTAATACTTCAGGTATGTCCCAATTTTAGGTTGTCTTCGAAGTTTGTTTGTTTTACCGCAAAGGGAAATGGTTTTTATAAGGGAAGTTTGATTTGGTCCCTGGGGATTTGGAGTATGAAAAGCGATCCTTTTCGATAGGAGAAACAAAATATTTACTAAGTCAGAATTTACAAAGAATAATTTATTTCAAAAGGGCCCCCAGGGCAGTCTTCATCGAGACCATTTGTCTTCGACCCTGGACAGCCGTCGGTTATTAGTAGCCGTCTGATATCGTTTGATAAATTGAGATTGGGCTTGAATCTTTAATTCTTGATCCAAATCGGCCTCATTTTTCTTATATCTCTCAATTAGGCGCTACTCGTCGGCCACGTGGCCTTCCAGGACGGATTGTTCTTGACGAAGCGTCCTCAATTCTGCCTCCTTCTTCTGGATTGACTC